ACACACACACACACACACACACACACACACACACATACACACACATTCACGTATATACTGTTATTGCTCCAGAAAGTTTCCTTATGTCCCTTTCCAGTCAATCTCTCTTTCACTTCCCATTGGCCAGCCCTGTTCTAAATATTTTCATAGAATAACTGGTATGTTATAAAGGGGATTGTAGTGTATGGACTCTTGTGATAAGGCTTCTTTTATTCCTAATGATATATAGTGTGGGTTTTGTTTTTTGTCCCCATTCACACACTTTATTTACATTTTAGGTGTAAGAATCATTTGCATTAACTTTTCCATTTGTTTTATTTTAATTTATTTTATACACTCTATGAATATTACAGTGCCGTTTTATATACTAAGTCATTTCAGAAGCATCTGCCTATGCTGCAATACCCAACAGAGGAAGTAACTCATGGTTTGAGTGCACAAGCCAAATGGTGGCACTGGGGGCACCATAGAGAAAACAGGCAAGAAAAGAGGGGATCCTCCCAGAGGTACCCAGGGGATGATGGTAGCTTATATTAGGGTAGTAGGTCATACCCAGGGCATGGCAGCAGTCAGTTTAGACCTGGGGTTCCAAAAGACAGACTGGGGAGAGAAGGAATTGTAGTGGAGGTGAAGGCAGAAATTGTTCTGGAAAAAAAAATAGTTAGATTTATGAAAGCAAAATTTGGGGAATATTTGCATATTCTGCAGCTCCAAATAGTTTTTAAAGCAGGAAATAGAAGGCAATAAGCACTGTTTTGTATCATATACCAGGCCTGGCATTCTCCATGTACAATTTAATTTGACCCTCACGACTGATCCGTGAGACAGCCATAATTTTCCCCCACTTTGGTTATGAAGTAATAAGATTTTTTTTAGTACCTGCTATTTCATGAGATAAAAATGAAAACTTTTCTCTTTAAAAATCATATAACTTCAAATTTTGACAGTTCAATGACTAGCATAAGGTCATTCAGACAACAATTTCACAGTCAGGGTATAAATCTCAATTTTGCTTATTATGAAACAAAAGTTACTTATATCTAACTCTAAAGAAGAGGTAACTGCAGTTTTGGTGACTGACCATCTTGACGAAGGTTAATAAGCTACCATCTGGTAGAACCAGGGCTATATTTTCAAGAATTGTAACTGCCCTATTTTCAAATGATTTGCCTAGCTTTCTCCTCACACAGAGAATGAAGCGCACTCACCCAAGAACCAACTCCTCACCTGTACTGTTGACTTCCTGGGTTTCCAAGTATTGCCAGGTACCAAGCTGCTCTCCTCATGGGTACTGTGCTGAGGACTATGATAGCAAGCAGAACAGTGGATGCACTGGTGGTGGTGACACCGGCAGTTGTAGCAGCTTGGCATCATATTTCTCTTCAGCAAGGCAGGGCAGATTTCCCCAGAACAGTAGATGCAAGAGTCATGGACTCTAGCTCCCTGAACACTGCAGGAGTAAGAGCAGGTCCTGCGGCAATCAAAATCACCACAGTGCAGTGGCTTACAATACATGGAATTTTCTAGACTCTTGCTTGCCAAGCATTCTGAGTAAGGGGGAGTTTCTGACTGAAGAGATGACATCGAATGATATGATTGGTCTGTGGCATGATATGGTTGGTCTGTAGGATGATATTGGTCCATGGGATGGCACCTCAATTCCCTGTAGCTAGAGCTCATTGGCTGGAAGTTTTGGTCTGTAGGTTTTGGTCTCTGAGTAAAAGTCTTGTTGCTATGAGTGACTAAACCTGGTAAATGAGATGTAGATAAGGATTTGCTACTCTCTTCAAAGAACTTTCTTCTGTCTGCAAAGGGCAAGAGGATAGCCTCCTCCCCAGCTTGGGCAGTAGAAGCCTTCAACTCCTTGTTGCCACCTGGGCTGGAAGAGCCTTCCATGGCTAGTGCCATATGTGGCTGCAGGTTATGCTCTGGAGACCATCTCCAGTGACCTCCATGGACTCCACAGTGAGCATTTGCTTTGTCAGTGTCTGAGGAGGATTGGTCAGATCCTTTCCACCAAGTGTTCAGCCGCAAGGAGGACTGACAAGGCTTCTGACCGGGGTTTATTTGTCCTTCCAAGCCTGATCTAGACTCATGGCTCTCAGAGAATTGGCTGAGGCACTCTGAAGACCTAGCCCTGAATATCATGCTTTTGTTGAAGAGCTTGCCTCTGGGGTTAGGAGGATTTTTATAAGAAGAGAGAGGAGATGTGTTAGAGGTGGGGAGTGGAGGACTTTCTGGGAGCTCCTGTGTCTCTTCTACTGGCTCCTTAGTGTCACACAGTTGTGACAAAGGACCCTTGCTTTTCTGGAGCTGGGCCTTTCTCCTTTGAATTTCATTACGCAGATTTGTAGCAAAACGTTCACTCTTCCGCCGGTTTTGGATAGAGCGGCCCCGAGACCCTCCACTTCGCCTACCACCCATCCGGCCACATTCCTTGGACTCACTGTCCCCTTCGTCAGTCACTTCTGTGCCACTGGCTACTATAGTGGTTGAAGAACACTCCCTTGTTTGTTGAATGAGGGAGCCAGGGGCAGCAGGCTGGTGGCTGGCCAATTCACTGAGTGTTCTGCTTGGGTCAAGAAAACCTCTTTCTGGAAGGTACCCATCTGTCTCTCCATGTGTGGAACTGCTCTGGTTCTGGTGTTCTGAATTTAAAGGCCTATCATCCACTAGCCTGGTCTTCCTTTCTCTGCTGGTCTGGTCCTGAATTCCACATGTAGCAGGACATGGATTTTTCTTTCCTTTGTGGCTGCTGTGCAAAGGGGACAGAGTCCACTGGTGCCCATCCTGCCCAGATGGGCACTCCATTCCCTTGTTCCCCCTGGTATCAAGATGTACATGCTGCAGGTGGGATACCAGCAATTGTTCAGGGGCACTATGGCGGTGCCCTGTTTGTCCTATGAGGTGTGGATGGCTTCCAAACATAGCCTTAGCTAGATCTGCTGAAGCCTCATTGAGTGGACTGGAATCCATTCTGGAAGCTCTGTCACAAGCTTTTGGGCATCTAATTGCTTTGGCTGAGACCTCCATTAGTAGATGCCCAGAGTCCTGCTGGCTGGACTCAAGAGACTGACTGAGTTCATGGTTCTGATGATCATCACTTGTTGTTTGGTCTTGCCTGCTGAGGCAGCAGAACCTGTTAGGGTTCCTTGGGGATAGTGCTGTCTCTAAGCTCAGTTTCTCCTCCTGTTGCAAGGAATCCACAGGCTCAGAAACCTTGTATTCTTCTCCATTGAGGAGTTGGGCTCTGGAGGCTTGAAGGCTGTCCCGTCTCACTGGAGGTTGTGGTGGGCCCCTGACTGCCTTCACAGGCCCTGGGTGGGAGCTCTCCTGTGGGCAGCATGACATCTGGGAGCTGGGAGTCAGGTGGCCCCCATTAGTATGTCGGCTACTTCCTGAAGTCTCAGCCACTTTAGGTCGGCCACTGGGGGCCTTAGTTGGCCCTGGGCCTTGTGTGATACAGTCTGCAGAGGCTGGCTCCTCTGGCCTGAGGGTAGTCAGAGGCATTTGAGCTGGCTGAAAAGGAACTGTAGGCTGAGTCACGCTGGTTGGGATATATGTTCTGGTCAATGGGCAAGAGGTGGCCCTCATAGGTGGCTTGGCCTGGTTGCTCCAAGCTCTCCATGCTGCCAATGGAGCTGCTTTTCTCAGTGCTGCAGTGCCGAGAGAGTGGACACCACTGCACACACACGTCACTGCAAGACACAAGACACATGAGTTAGTTAGCTAGGTCACTGGATTGGATTCCTTTTCTACCTGGCCCCCCCCTGCCACAGAAGAAGGCAGGGCTACTCAAAGGCAACTATCCCACAAATTAGAGGGAGATAAGATGAAATGGAGAAAGGGAAATAAATGGATACTTGGATGCCGTAGGGATAGGGCAAAGTGGGAGAGAAGATGACCTATGGAAGTAGGATGGGGAAACATCCCAAAGACTAACAGTGGGAGAATGCCATAATGGCCATGTTCTATTTCTCTACTACCAGCAAGTCTGAAATTGCTTCTGAGCTGTCTCTGCCCCTAGAGGGTCAGCATGTGACTCTCTGCCAGGAGATATAACCATAGAATATCAACATTAGAGAGAGGTCTTAAAGGGTGGGTTTCATTTTAGCCAGATCATTTTGTAAATCAGGGATTTTCAAACTTGAGTGTGCATCAGAGTCATGAGTGCACAGGTCAATAGGCTTCATCCTAGAGTTTTAGGTCTAGATAGATTCCTAGAAATTACACTTCTGATAACTGCTACTGGTACTGCTGGTCCAGGAACCACACTTCTGAGAACCACCAGTATAAATTGAACCCCATGAAGAGAAGTGATTTTAAGTAGGTAATTTTCTCAAGACCCCACTCTAACTAGTGGCAGAGACAGGGCTAGAATTCTTTTTTTGCAATGCTGACTATTTGCAGAACACCTACACTACACTGCCATACACGTTGCAAGCCTTCACTTCAAGCCAAAGGGGCAAGATTATTATCCCCACTTTATAACTGAGGAAACTGAAGCTTAGGAAGGTGGAGTGAACTGACAAGCTCATTAAGCTGCTAAAGAAGCAGAGCTGGAAGTTGAACTCAGGTCTCTATAAGTCCAGTGTCTTAGTCCTTCTTCTGTAACCATCTTTTAAATGGGAATAATAGCAATATCTCTATTAGAGTGTTGCTGTGTAGATGAAATCAGATAATAGATATAAAATCCTTGTCATAGTTCAGGCACCTAGCAAGAGTTCGATACATAGCAACTGCTGCTTTCCTGATCACTGCTAGCACTGTTTTATTATCAGCTTCCACTCTGCTACTAGCATTACTACTATAATGGTCCCTGCCCACTCATGCCTCTTTCAGCCCCCACAGCAAAGCCAAACTGGGGAAACCAAGGATCTGACACGATCTTAAATTTTAAGTACCATTTTCCACACATAAAGCCAAACTGAGCCAAAATATGCCAGTAACTTCCTTTGACTAGAACCCAGAGGTTACAGGCTGCTCCCAGAAAGGTCATAGTATAGAAAACTAGAGTTAAACTGTGGCTGGCAGCAGCCCATTAGACCTTCAGGTCTGCTTCTCATAATCCTTCCTCCCTGCCTTGCCCCTTAGCCACTCTTCTCACTTATTCTCTGAGCTAGAGATCCATCAATTCCTTGTTGGCAAGGGAACCTGCTACCTACCCCACCACTCTTCCATCTGAACAAAAACTGATACCCCCGCTCAAACAGGAATCAAGTTCAGAATATGTTTCTACATATTCTTCCAAAACAAAACTGTTCTAGGCTCCTCATTTCAATGACAAATAAAGTCACTTAGCTGGGGCAAACTAAACTCTTAGCTCAGCATCCTCAACAGAAATCACTTCTTGAAGGAAAGATTTGGTTGTACAAGGGGAAAGGCAGCTGAGGGCAACACTTTTGCTATAGCTGAGCTTGCTGAAAATGTCTGCTTCTTGGGCAGCTGTTTCAACAACAGATAATACCAAGGTCCATAAATTGAGTGATCCTCATTGTAGGTAGACCCTGCTATTCAGGGAGGTCCTAATTTTGAAGGTTTTTGGCTCTGTCGCAGAACTAGTGAACACTGGCTGAAGTCTCCAGTGAATTGCACAGATAGGAGGGCCAGAATGGAGCCTTGAGGTCTTCCTACATCAAGAAATCAGGGAGACTAGAGAAAACAGGAAAAGAGACTGAGAAAGAGCAGCTAGGGAAACAGGATGAAAAGCAGAACTGTATGGCATCTTGCAAGCCAAATGATGTATTTCAAGGAAACATTGTTCAATAAAAATTAGATAGGCCCAAAGTCACCCAGAGTTAGTAATAAATCAGGAGCAGAACCCAGATACTCTGCATCCCACTTGATTCTTCATTATACCTCTCTAGGCTTTCTTAACATACAACAGAAACTATAGTAGAAGAGGAGAAACAGTCAGGTTGTCTGCCCTCTAGCCAATCTTTCACAACAAGAGATTCACCTTGAGTTGCACCCGGAATGCCAGGACAAGCTGAAGTCTTCAGAAGGAAAATGCATGGTGGTGGCCGTTTCAGGGCATCCCTCCAGCAGCTTGGCCACATGCCATGAGTGTGGCCTACTGACAGGGGTGTTTCTCCTACAGCAAGAAAGAGACAGGAAGTTGGCTTAGGGAACCAGAGCTGAAATCACTTCCCAAGCTGCTTCCGTCCCCACCCCCCTTTTCCTTCAGTGAAGTAGAACATCTTGCAAGGAGCTGATGTGGGAATCTTAGTGGTCTTCCAATATTCAAATCTTCATCCTGGGGCAGATTCCTGGACACAAAGAATGCCAGCTTCACAAGGCTATTTTTATTAACAAGAGTATCCTACATATGCATGGCAGTATTAGATGCATAGTAGATGCTCAATAAATATTTATGGAATAAATGATTGCTGCTGTCTAATGAATGGTGATTCTACTTTTACTTATTATTTCTCCCTTGAGGAAAAAAATATCAATCTGGCCAGTCTTGCCATTTTTCTCTGAGAAAGGAATAGGCAAGTGATTGAGAAGTTTGAACAATTCGACACTGGGCTGTGAATTCTCCATTTTTTACTCACTCATTCGATAAGCTGTAGAGATACAGAGATGAATTAAGCAAAGTATTTGCCTTAGAGGGCTTACAGATTATCGAGAGACAGAGATAATTCAAATAAAGTACAATGAAAACACTGAGAAAGCAAAGGATAATATGGGCACAGAAGTGAGACACCTGAATCTGTAAACAAAGTGGTGGCAGGCAGTCCAACTCCTATGAGGGAAAATAAAACAAGGTGATGAATGGCACAATACTAGACTGAAAGAGCAGACTGGCTGCCCAGCAGGTCAGCAGGGAATGAAGGGAAACAGATCTGAGGCCTGTTGCAGACTCTGAATGCAGCCACAGAATCTATGCAGTGCAGGACACTGAAGCCACACTCTTGCACTTACTGGCTTATACAAGCAGGACCCATCCCTGCCCCTTGGCCTGCTTCACATGAAGAGATGTCCCCTTGCAAGTGAGGAGGAGAACATGTAGAACATGGGTAATGCCAAAAGATAAAGAGATGATTGATGATGGGGGAATGAGAGTAGGAGAGGGGATGAGGAAGGGAGGATGAGAGTGGGGAGAGAAGAGAGAGAGAGAGAGAGAGAGAGAGAGAGAGAGAGCAAGAAGAAGAACCAGGAAGATAATAAAATAAAAGGGAAAGACAAATGACAGAAAGAGAAAGCTCTGAAGGATGGTTGAAAAATATATAGTAGAGAGAAATGGATGATAGAGACGAATGACAGAATAAGAGAAACATTATAAATAAGTAGATGGCAGAGAGATAAGTAGATGCTTGATTATTAAGTGATTTATTCTCATTTATTCTGCCAGACTCTATACTAGGCACTGACGGTACACAGAACTAAATTAAGATAAAAACCCCTGTTTGGAACAAGCTTGCCACATAGTAGGATAAATCACCTGTCTACCTCCCAGGAGCAGTAATGGACAGACTTAAGCTAGAGGGTTCCATCCTAGTTGGAAATGCCTCTCATGCCAGCAGAACCATGGAAAATTCCAGTAGCCTACATCTCTAGAGGGCTAAGGCTTACAAGGGTAGTCTTTAGGAGAATGGCCTTACTGGGGAAAACATGAATTGAGTGGTAGCAGGCCAGACCTAAACAAGGAGGTACAGGAGAAAGGGCAAGAGAACCTGCTTACCAGAGATCAGGATCCAGAGTCAAGGGTCAATAGCAGTGGCTAAGATTCATGGGAAGGAAAGCCAGGTGAGCCTATGCCCTCATCTTGCTATGGCTTTGTAATCACATTGTTCTATTCTGGATCTCAGAGTGTCTAGAGGGAGGCTGAAGGCACCAGAAGGCCTTACAGGGTGCAGTTGTTCTGGAGTCTCACACACAAAGCCGTGCTGCTCGGAAATCTCTCTAGCTTCTATTACTCAACAGTAGTAATTTGGTCAAAAGCCATTTATGAAGTATCTACCAGGAGTACTGCATGCTACTAGGTACTGTATACCATGTGTATCTATTATGTACTATACTTTCAGGTGCTGAGAATGTAATGCATAGGTTACCTCTCTTATTTGGGGATCTTCTTCCACATACAGAATTTCTGAAATTCTTCTGACTATAGATATTAAAATGTGAGTGATACCACCTTCTTCTCAATGATCCAATCCCACACCAAGCTTTACTGAGTCTTCTTTTATATCTCTAGCTTTACTTCTTTTTCTCTCTCCATTCTCACTGCAATCATTACACAGAATCACACCTCTCCTCTGAGAACCCACCACTACTACCACCACCACCACCACCACTACCTTCTGTTTCAGTCTACAACCTTGACACTTTATATCTAAAATACTATGCAGCCTGCCAACCAGCCTCCACTTGTTCTACGTACAGTCACCGCTTTAAGATGAACACCAGTGGAATTGGAGCACTCTTATACTCAATAATCTTTTCTGGCTCCCCATTCCCTTCCCTATCTTACATCAAATGTGAACTAGATAAGTTTTTCAAAGCCTTTTATATGGTATCTTTACCAACTTGGCTCAATCTCTCATGTCTTTAGTTCAATCACACCCTGAAAATGGCTCTGTCTCTTTCTGACTCTCTGCCTTTGCTGTTGATTTTCTAGTAGAATCTAGCACAAGCTCTAGAGCTGGACCACCTTGGTTTGAATCCCAGCCATGCTACTTAATGTCTGTCGCTTTACATGGGTGGCTTCACTTCTCAGAGGGTTAGTTTCCATGGAAGTAAAATGGGGATAATAATACCTACCTAATGGGGTTCCTGATCTTCTGAATCTTGGGCACTTGGCATATTTCAGGAGAACCTAGAGATCCAAACTGTGGTCAATCATGTTGGATTCTAGCAGCACAGTCCAGTTTACTATGGACTATGCTATGTATACTGGACCCTGATTTGTATTTTTTGATTACTTGAGCAGCCCCCACAAAGGGTACCCAGATCTGTCCATCCACTGTCAAGGCTCTACTTACGCTATTCTTCTGCCACTCTTTGAAAGGTAGCTTACAAAGGACCCTTACTCTCTCTAGGGTTTCTCTGGGAGTAGGAAATGAGCCCAAAGGAGACAGAAGGAAACAGTGGGAGTTCTTGGGACACCAAGAAAACAAAAACAAAACAAAACAAAAATAAAACAAACAAACAAACAAACAAACAAAAAACAATGGTTAGGAGGAGGAAAATCCAAACAGAATGAATTGCAGCCAAAACTGGAACCTTCTAACTCTAGTTTGGCAAAGGAAAGTAAACTGTTTAAAGAGTCTATTATTTGTCCTATTATTATTCTGGAATGGCTCTAGACTTGCAGGTAGTCCACACTTGTATCAAACCTCAACCATGTGTCCTTGGGTAAGTCACATCTCTGAGTTACAGAGTGTTTATCAATAAAATAGAGAATGCCCATCTCTTTACCATGAGTTATAGTCTGGATTAAATGTAGTCCAACATGTAAAGGCAATCAGCATAGTGCCTGACATAGATATTCTATGAATTTAAAAAAAACTAACAGGGACCATTTTTTGAACACTTAAGATTTGTCAGATTCTGAGCACTTAGTATGCATTAGCTGGTTTAATCTTCACTCTTAGCTTTATACAGGAAGAACTATTATTGTCTCCATTTTACAGATAAAGAAACAGTGCTATGGAATGCTTGAGTGATTTCCAAGAGCACACAGTTAGTGACCAGCAGAGTTGAGATTGAGATTAAGAATCTAAAGCTCTTGCTAGAATACCACATAACCCCTCCTCCCCAAGAAGATTCTGTCTTGAAAGCTTGTATACCTGATATTTCCCATAGCCATTCCCTCAAGAAGCGGTCAGAAAGAGGAGGTCTCAGTTATCTTAGAGTTAAAACCATCCTCTCCTTAGGCATTGGGGAAGGAGGATGAATAGAAATAAGCAGAGAGGTAAGAAAAAGCCAACCACCTACCATACAGCTCTAGGCCCAGATGTGGAAGCAATAACTCCAGCACTTACCTTTTCTCCTAAGGCTAGATCAGGCACTATCACTGAGCATACACATTATCATTCATGACTCCAAAATACCTTTTTTAGGAAGCAAAAAGAAGGGACATGAAAGGGAGAAGCGTGGCAGCCATGGCTACCAGCTATACCTACCATAGAAGTTGCCCTGGGTGAAGAGATGACTTAGAAGAGAGTGGAGTATCCAGCTAACTCACGTTCTTATACACAATGCCTTCAGCCAGCATTCTCCCTTCATTGAAACCCATCTGCTCTCCAATTATGATCTGAGGTGAGGGGCCGTTAGCCCAAGAGCTTGAGTGTGATCCAAGGGATTCAGACACAAGTCCCAATTCCAAGAACAGTAAGAAGTAAGACAAGGTATAGCTATCAGCCTGGTTGGGCCTCAATGTGGCCACAGTCTTAGGGGATGAAAGCCAATGTCAAGAGCTAAACAGGAGTGAAGGTTTTTCTCTAGAAACTAGCCAGCACCCTAGTGGCAAAGGAAAGGATGGAATGCAGTTCCAGCAGCATAAACAGCCCCCCCTGTTCCCTACTCCAACCTCCCTGAGTTCAGGCCCACCCCTTCCATGGCTCAGAGGCCAATAAGGAAGCTGGGCCCCCAGTCACTGCTAGAACTCAGGAAAGGAGCAAGGAAATGATGTTTGGGAAAGATAAAGCGGGTGTCTAAAAAGAATTTTTAAAAATACACGTAAGTGAGAGAGAAAAATACCCCAGACACATACACTTAAAAGAATTCCTGTGCTTCCTGGACTAAGCTGACCCCACCCAGCCATCTCCACAGGGTCTCTGGGCCACAGAAAAAGAAAAGCCAAGATCAGTCAGGCCCAGCAGCCTCCAGGTCCAGAGGAATAGCACTAAAACTGATTTTTATATAGATGAGGGCAAGTAACTTAAGAGATTTTCCAAGGTGAATGTCCTCCAAGTTACAAAGGCTCATAAACATTCAGGACCATATTTACAAGGTCTTTACTTCCTATAGCCCCCAAGTAAACTCAAAGAAAACTGAGTTTCACAGTAGAGATAAAAACTCTAGAAAAGGTACCCATTGGCAATGCTGGAATAAAGGTGCTTGGGTTCAGGATCCCTGGATCTGCTA